CACCCACCACCCTCTGCGTAAGGAACTTTACACGCATATCTCCCGTAAACTTTTCCCCTCTCACCTTGAAATCGTGACCCCTAGAAACTGAGTCCCCCACTCTGGGAAAAAGTTTCTTGCTATCCACCCTGTCTATACCTCTCATGATTGTGTAGACCTCAATCAGGTCCCCCCTCAACCTCCGTCTTTCTAATGTAAATAATCCTAATCTACTCAACCTCTCTTCATAGCTAGCGCCCTCCATACTAGGCAACATCCTGGTGAACCTCCTCTGCACCCTCTCCAAAGTATCCACATCCTTTTGGTAATGTGGCAACCAGAACTGTACGCAGTATTCCAAATGTGGTCGAACCAAAGTCCTATACAACTGCAACATGACCTGCCAACTCTCGTACTCAATACCATGTCTGATGAATGAAAGCATGCCGTATGCCTCCTTGACCACTCTATCGACCTGCGTTGCCACGTTCAGAGTACAATGGACCTGAACACCCAGAGCCCTCTGTGCATCAATTTTCCCCAGGGCTTTTCCATTTACCATATTGTTCACTCTTGAATTGGATCTTCCAAAATGCATCACCTCGCATTTGCCTGGATTGAACTCCATCTGCCATTTCTCCGCCCAACTCTCCAATCTATTTATATTCTGCTGCATTCTCCGACGGTCCCCTTCACTATCTGCTACTCCACCAATCTTAGTGTCATCTGCAAACTTGATAATCAGATCATGTATACCTTCCTCCAGATCTTTTATGTGTATCACAAGCAACAGTGGTCCCAACACGGATCCCTGTGGAACACCACTGGTCACAGTTCTCCATTTTGAGAAACGCCCTTCCACTACAACTCTCTGTCTCCTGTTGTCCAGCCAGTTCTCTATCCATCTAGCTAGTACACCCTGGACCCCATGCGACTTCACTTTCTCCATCAGCCTACCATGGGGAACCTTATCAAATGCCTTACTGAAGTCCATTTGAAAGGAACCTAAGGGTAACATTTTCATGCAGAGGGTGGTGCGTGTATGGAACGAACTGCCAGCGGAAGCCATGAATGTGGGTGCAATTACAACATTTAAAAGGCATCTGGATGCTACGTGAATTAGAAGTGTTTAGATGGATGTGGGCCAAATGCTGGCATATGGGACAAATCAGACTGGAATGTCTGGTCGGCGTGGATCAGTTGGACCCAAGGGTCTTTCCGTGTTGTACGATTCCATTACTCAAAGAAATGCATGGCTTAGGGTAAGGCGGGTATGGGGGGCGTGGCTAAGACAGGCTGAGTTTTCTGGAGAAAGCCGACACGAATAGGACGGGCTGAATGTTCTCTTTCTATAATTTGATGATTCGAACGACTGGTTATCGTACTCCCTGGAGGAAAGAATCAACAGAACCACCAGACAATGGAACGACACGGTGTAGCAATGACGATAAGGCTACATGCACTGTGTTTAACCGGATCTTTAAACCGGAAACGACTGGCATCCCGAATACAGACAATGTAAAACAATGCCGTAAGGGGCTCTGACAGCACAGTGATCGTGTCCGTACCTCTGATCCAGGAGGCCACCTGCTCCAGAGATTTTTGTTAAGCATACGGCTGAATGAATAGAAAATTTCTGGAATGATTCCGCCTCCCACCAGTTACACGATCTGCTTCATCATCCAGATCATTCCTTTACCGCGGTCTACACAACGTCGTGTGTGCTTTTTTAAAATTTCATGTATTGTCGTAATTCCGGTATTTTATCTTCCATTTCTCCTATTTCCCATTTCATTGGCCATTCATGTTTTCTTAACACTCCACCCCCATCCTACCCAGAAGATTGCTTTCCACTTCTCGCAGAAACCTCGTGAGTTTCAGCACCATATCAGTACAAAATCTAAAGTGACATTCCAGAGAAACATTGGGAGGGCTGCGCAGAAAGAGTAGCCGCTTTCAGACCAGGTGTTAAAGGGAGGCTGTATCTGTCCTCTCAGATGAATGTAACAGATTCTGTGGAACTATTTGAAAGAGAAATGTAGAGCTGTATATAATGTGGGTATTCTCGGGGCTTGAGCGGGAAAAGTGTGCAATACCTATCCCCAAACAACGTCACTAAACAGATTACCCGAACATTTATCTTTTGTTCTTTTTAGGTGCTTGTTGAACGCAAATTGGCTGACCAAGCCAGTATTCATTGGCCATCCCTAGTATCCCAGAGGGCAGTTAAGAATCAGCTGCATTGCTGTGCGTCTGGAGTTGCATGCAGCTCCCCGGTTAACGACGGCAGATTATTTTTCCTAAACGGCCTTAAACAACGAGATGGGATTTTCAGGCCATGGGCAATGGTTTCGCGGTCATCATTAGACTCTTAATCCCAGATATTTGTTGAATAAAAATTCCACCATTTGAACCCGGATCCCCAGGGCATTACTGTGAGTGTTTGGATTAATAGTCTAATGCTAATATCACAGAGCATCGCCTCTCTTCAGAGAGTATTTCGTTGGCTGTAGCGTGCTTAGGAGCGTTCCGAGGCTGGCAACTATGCTAAAGAATTGCATATTCTTTCAATGACAGCAGAAGGGTGCGTCCTTAGCATTTCTGCTCCATAAACTCTACAGCAAATTCACGTTTCTGGGTGTCATCATGAAAACGGCAGCGGATATGACTTCATCGATCGGTAGGAAAGAGGAGGTGCAGTCAGCACTGGCAGTTATATTAACCTTCTGGCTTACCAGAGAGCCAGTCATCAGGGCCGTTCAATGTTCCAACGTACAGAATTTGCTGCAAATTCGCTGGACGTGGTAATTTGGTTTGGAAGAACTGTTGGCCTCAGCTACAGATGATAGTAAGGTAGAATCTTCCAGTAAAGGCGAGACTATTCAGCCTATCATTTTACCAGTTCTGCTTCTCTGAAAGAGTTCTTTAATCAGTTGCACTGTCTTGTTGCTGTAGCCCTGAAACATAGAAGAGGAGCAGAAGCAGGCCATTCTACCTCACGAGCCTGCTCTAGCATTTACTGTGATAATGGCTGATCATGGAATTTAATACTCCAATGACTTCCTTCCCACAACCGCACTCCATACCCCTTGATCCCTTCAGCTACAAGAGCTGCATCTACTTCCTTCTTGAAAATGTTGAACGTTTTGCCTCAACCACATTCTGGAGTAATGAATTCCACAGGTTCACAACTGGCCGAAAAAATTTCTTCTCATCCCAGTCCTGAAAGGTCCTCATCTTACGTTGATCTTTAAACTGTGACGCCTGGTTCTGGACTCCCCCATCAACTGGAACTTCCTTCCTGCATCCTGTCTAGTCCTGGAACAATTTTCTGGTTTCAAAGAGATTCCCATCATTCTTCTAAATTCCAGTGAATTCAATCCTACACGATTTAATCACTGCTCGTACCTAAGTCTTAACAATATAGGAATCAATTTGGTAAAACTTTGCCACACTCGCTCTCTAACAAGAACATCGTTCCTCAGCTAAGGAGACCAAAACTGCACACAATATTCCAGCTGTGTCCTCACCAATGCCCTGTATAATTTCAAATCTTTGTCCAGTTTTTTTTAAGTGACTACCGGATCTGTTTTCACTACCCTTTCAGGCAGAGTGTCCCAAATCACAGCTTAGTCCAAATATAACAAGAGACATTATTTTGCATATCTCTGTTTACTCAGTCCAGGATGTCGCATGTGAATTAACGGGAAGTTACATGCCAATGTCCCCTTATTGTTGATGATGTGGAGGTGCCGGTGTCAGACTGGGGTGGAGAAGGTCAGAAGTCACATGGTGCCAGGTTATAGTCTAACAGATCTATTTGAAATCACAAGCTTTTGGAGCATAGCCCCTTCATCAGGTGAAGTAAGAGAGAAGCGCACCTACACAGAATTTATACGCGGAGAGATCAAGGGCAGAGAGATCAAAATATCATACAAATGGTCTACGTTGATTTGAATAATAAGTCTCTGCAGATTATCAAAATTGTCAGAGTAAAGTGTCAACAGCTGAATAAGAAGTGAAGGGATGACCAATAATCTGATTAAATGAGACATGGAGATAATTACAAAAAATTAAAAATAAGCTGGTGCTGGAGACAAACCAAATGATTGGAATAACATGATAGGTGTGAGAGCCGCGTGCTGAGGGTCTAACCAAAGTAATAAGTAATGCAATACTGTACAAACTAATTAAGGTAGAGAGATCACAACAATTTATAAAGATGATGGTGTCAAAACAGGACAGTAAGGAAGATTTTACAGATACAGAAGTGTTTTGGGATCATATGTAGTGCAACATGAACCCAAGATCACCGTTGAGGGCCTCTTCATGGGTATGGAACTTAACAATCAGTTTCTGCTCAGGGATTCTGTTGTTGTGTATCTCCAAGGCTGCGTTGGAGGAAATGTACCCGAAGATCGCAGGATGAATGTCCTTGACTGCTGAAGTGTTCCCGGGCTGGGAGGGACATTCCTGTCATTCGATTGTTGCACGTGTCTATTAGTCCGTTGAAGAAGCATCTGCATGGTCTCGCCAGTATATCATGCCTCGAGGCATCCTTGCCTGCAGCGTATGAGTAGACAACATTGGCCATGTCACATGATTGGGACCACAGCTGGCTAACACACAGAAGCTCCATGGATCCACCCGGGTACACCATCGACATTTGGCGGGTTTACACTGCTCCAGCGGCTGGTGTGTATACCCACACCCTAAAATTTCGATGATTGCTCAACTTCTGTCTACCAGAGACCGCGAGCTCTACAGTGAGACGGCCCTTGGTGCTTTCACTCCACGTTCAGAGGAATTAGGATTATCAAAACAGCCCAGACCTGGCTTGCTTCACATCCCTCTCCAATTCACGAATTCAGGTGGAGAAAGCTCAGACACATCCAGCTTTGGTGTCTTTGCTACTTTACCCAATTAGGGGAGGAGTCTGTGATTTTCTCTGACAGTTTCGCTTCAAATGGTCCGTTGTTTTTGTACAAACTTTGTAATGATATCTTGCAGTGTGTAGGTATCCAGCGCGCACAGTAATAGGTGGCGGTGTCCTCTGTCTTTACTTTGTCGATTATGAGGTAGAATTCGTTGTCTTTAGATTTCCCAGCTTTGAACCGTTCACCAAATCCCGGATCCCGCGATGTGCCTGATCCATAATAGAGGATTTGGGTGGGTACCTGGCCGGGCTTGTGCTGGTACCAGTGAAGGGGATAACTATTCCTGATCGTTACACCTTCGACTTCGCATTTGAATATAGCGATTTTGCTCACGTCTTTGGCAATGGATGGGACAATCTGTTTCAGTGTTTGTGCAAAATATTCGCCTGAGGAAAGAATATACAGGGTTACAAAGAAACGATGTGATGGATGTGAATGAACAGCAAGGTCTGAATGATAGCGTCAGAAACACATACAGGGCAAAGCGGTTACCACAATGAGCCAGTAATACAGCGACATGTTCACTCAATCTTCAACTGTTCTCTCAAGCAGCTGGATAGAAACTAAAAGGAAACGAAACCCTCTTTACAAACCAATCAATGCGATATTGATCAGGGTTTCAAACCCGCCCCCGCCCCTCGCCCTACAGGCTGGCCATTTCCAATACAAACAGAAAATGTTGGAAATACTCTGTACGCTGTGGAAAGAGAAACAATTAACATTTCAGAACCCATATGGAAAAAGTTGAGATGTTGACAAGGTTTTAAGCCCGTAAGAAGATAGGAAAACAGGAAAGGGAAAAGTATAAACAAAAGGAACCTTGACCGGCTGGAGGACAAGAGAGTTAAATATCACAAGGGATGGGAGTGCAAAGGGAACGGTGATGGTAATGGGAAGTGAACAAAAACAAAGGTTGTTTCCAGAGAATGTGTCAACAGCAAAAGCAGAATCATGAAGTTTAATTTGATCCTGAGCATCTGAAAATTTTAGGGAGAGGAAATGCCACTGCTCAGTGTTTTCTGAAATCATTCCGGAGCGATTGAGCTCTAATTTTTACATTTTGTACAATCTGTCCAGATTATTTAAGAAAAGTGGCAAGGATAGGCCAAGGAACTATAAACCCGGGAACTTGATATCTGTGGCTGGCAACTTGTGGAGGGGATTCTGACAGTCAACATTTACATGCACTTGTAAAGGCATGGACTGATTCAGGATGGTCAACGTGGTTTTGTGCATGGTAAAACATGTCTCACTAACTTGATTGAGTTTTTTGAGGAAGTGATGAAGTGGATTGATGAAAGTTGAGGGTGGTCACAGCTATATGGACCAGTAGGTGTTTAGCAAGGTTCCACACAGTAGACTGGCTAGCAAGGTTAGATCACGTGGAATACAGAAGGAACTAGCCATTTGGGTACAAAATTGACTTGAGGAGAGGAGACAAGAGTGTGGTGGTGGAGGGTTGTTTTTCGGACTGGGTGCCTATGACCACTGGTGTCCCACAAGGTTTGGTGCTTGTTCCACTGCTTTTTGTCAATTACGTAAATGGTTTGGATGTGAATAGAGGAGATATGCTAGGACAAGAAGGCATAGCCTCAAGATTAGAGGGAGCAGATTTAGGACTGAACTGAGAGGGAATTTCTTCACCCAGAGCGTTGTTAATCTGTGGAATTCCTTGCCCAGTGAAGTAGTTGACGCTACTTCAGTAAATGTTTTTTTTAAAAAAGGTAGATTTTTTTTTGAACAATAAAGGAATTAAGGGATACAGTGAGAATGCGGGTAAGTGGATCTGAGTCCACGAAAGGATCAGCCATGATCTTATTGAATGGCGGAGCAGGCTCGAAGGGCCAGACGGCCTATTCCTGCTCCTAGTTCTTATGTTCTTATGTTCTTATATGGTTAGTAAGCTTGCAGATAATACCAACAATGGTGGTGTAGTGGACAGCAAGGAAGGTTATTTCAGAGTACAATGAGTCCTTGATCAGATGGGCTTATGGGCTGAGGAGTGGCAGATTGAGTTTAATTGAGATAAATGTGAGGTGCTGCATTTTGCTAATGCAAATCAGGGCAGGATTTAGAACATAGAACATAGAACAGTACAGCACAGTACAGGCCCTTCGGCCCACGATGTTGTGCTGAACTTTTACACTAATCCTAAGGCCTATCTAACCTCCACCCCTACCTTATACTATCATCCATATGCCCATCTAGTAGCTGCTTAAATGCCCCTAATGAGGCCGACTCCGCTACCCTCTCCGGCAATGCATTCCACACCCTGACCACTCTCTGAGTAAAGAACCTGCCTCTGATGTATCCCCTGTATCTACCTCCACTCACTTTAAAACTGTACCCCCTCGTAATAGCTACTTCCACCCTAGGAAAAAGTCTCTGGCTGTCCACTCTATCCATACTTCTGATCATTTTGTACACCTCTGTCAAGTCACCTCTCAATCTTCATCATTCTAAAGAGAAAAGCCCTAGATCTCTCAACCTTTCCTCGTAAGACCTTTCCTCCATTCTAGGCAACATCCTGGTAAATCTCCTCTGCACCTTTTCCAATGCTTCTGCATCTTTCTTGTAATGAGGCGACCAGAACTGGACACAATACTCCAGATGTGGCCAAACCAGGCTTTTGTATAGCTGAAGCATAACTTCACGGCTCTTGAACTCAATCCCTCTATTAATGAAAGCTAACACACCATATGCCTTCTTAACAACTCTATCCACCTGGGTGGCAGCTTTCAGGGAACTGTGGACATGAACCCCAATATCGCACTGCTCCTCCACACTTCCAAGAATCTTTCCGTTAACCCTGTATTCTGCTTTCAAATTTGTCCTTCCAAAGTGAATTACCTCACACTTTTCAGGGTTAAACTCCATCTGCCACTTCTCAGCCCAGCTCTGCATCCTATCAATGTCCCTTTGTAACGTAGAACAGCCCTCCACACTATCCACAACTCAACCCACCTTCGTGTCATCCGCGAACTTACTAATCCATCCTTCCATTCCTTCATCCAAATCATTTACAAAAATCACAAATAGAAGAGGACCCAGAACAGATCCTTGTGGTACACCACTCGTAACTGAACACCATGTTGAATATTTTCCGTCCACTACCACCTTTTGTCTTCTAAGGGTCAGCCAATTCTGAAACCAATCTGCCACATTTCCCCCTATCCCATGCCTCCTTACCTTCTGCATAAGCCTACCATAGGGAACCTTATCAAACGCCTTACTTAAATCCATGTATACCATATCCGCTGCTCTACCTTCATGTAAGGATGTATACACTTAATGGTAAGGTCCTGAGTAGTGTTGTTAAAGAAAGAGACCTTGCAGTGCAGGTTCATTGTTCCTTTAAAGTGTAGTTCCAGGTAGACTGGATAGTGAAGAAGGCATTTGGTATGCTTGCCTTTCTTGATCAGTGCATTGAGTATAGGAGTTGGGAGGCCATGTTGTGGCTGTACAGGACATTGGTTTGGTCACATTTGGAATAATGCATTCAATTCTAATCTCCTAGCTATGGGAAAGATGTTGTGAAACTTCAAAGAGTTCAGGAAAGATTTACAAGATGCTGCCAGGATTGGAGGTTTTGAGCTGTAGGGAGAGGCTGAATAGGCTAGGGTTATTTTCCCTGGAGCATCACAGGCTGAAGGGTGACCTTACAGAAGTTTATCAAATCATGAAAGGCATATATTGGGTGAGCAGCCAAGGTCTTTTCTCCTGGATGGAAGAGTCCAAAACTAGAGGGTGTAGGTTTGAGGTTAGAATGGAACTATGGGTATTTAGTTTTCGAAAGTTAGTTGCTAACTCCAAACAGACACACAAAGTCACATTTTCAATTGAACATTCCAAAAGCCCAAACTTGTAGCATGTAATATTAAAATACAGATATATGTCTTTTTCATCACCTGGCAAAATGAACAATTTCATACTTTGCCACATTATACTGCATTTTTCAGATTTCTAGCCACTCTCTTATATCCCATTGTAGCCTGCTAATGCCCTTGTAACAAATTACTTTACTATCTTAGTTTTTTTTTTAAAGTGCTACACTATTTCTGCTTACCAAATCCGAGGTGACATTTATTATTTGCCTATAGATTATAAGAGTTAAATTAATTTGCCATCAGGTTCATAGCTTTAAAAGTCTTTCCCACTGCTGTTGGACTGACTGAACTGTGATTACATATTTATCCTTCTCTACTTTATTGAAAGCAAATACAACAGTCATATTTGCCTGACACTGCTCCCATATCTAAGATAACACAGTGTGGAGCTGGAAGAACACAGCAGGCCAGGCAGCATCAGAGGAGCAGGAAAGCTAATGTTTCAGGTCGGGACCCTTCTTCAGAAATTGGGGATAGAAATGGGCAGTGCAGGGTTGGGGAACGATGAGGTTGGAGGCTGTGTGCGGGAGGTAACCTGAGGTGATGAGGTTATGGTCGAATCAGAGATAGTAGGAACTGCAGATGCTGGAGAATCCGAGACAACAAGGTGCAGGGCTGGATGAACACAGCA